TATTTCCTTCTTTTATTTGGTAGTGTACAATTAAAGTAATAGCTGTTATGATGCCCCAGTCGGCATATATTGATAACTGCCGCGCCTGGTCTTGATGCCGAACAAGTATATGGACGCAAAAACTAAGAAGGTCGAAGTCCATTGCTCAATGGACGTTATGCAAGTGTGCTGGGCAGGAGGGCGAATTTGCCAAGTAGGTAACTCAGTGGAGCTGATCAAAAGCACACAATCTTGGGGAGTGCTATTGACAAATCCACCGCGGACTGGCCGTACCAAAGCCCCACAATCAATGTACTTGCCATTCCAAATTTTCTCTTGAATCTGCTTGGGTACCCCCAGCCCCAGTTCGTCACAAATATCAAAGACTGCCTCACAATATTTTCCTTGCGTCAGATTTTATGATTTTATGTTGGACTATCAATATTTCCCACAAGACTCAAAGCTATCGTCCGCTTCGCTTCCAATGACAAAACCCATCTCCCGAAGTTCTGCTCCTGGTTCCCTCACCCATGGGCATGGGATGACAGGCACCCTACTGTTCAACTGGTCAGGCCTTCTGGTGTAGGCCTTTCCTTCAATATCCCACGCATCCTATGGTGGATCCTCCTCATTGCTCTGTGCCTCGCCAACTGTGGTTTCCAAGACTTGACAAGACTCCTGGTACAATGGCTGCTGGTTCTTCCAGTCAGGGAGGACATCCTTCGTCAACCCAAGTCAGGGATCCTCCACTCAGCACCAGAGAGTCTTCACTTGACATATTGGACATTGTCCAATGATCCTTCAGGGTGTCGGGCCTTTCTGCAGACGCTGCGTCCAAAGCAGCCTGGGGTCGACGACTGTCCACTCGCGCCGACTGTGCGACAATTTTTCTAGATAGTGCGACGACCACGATGTTTCTCCAACCGAAGCTCCTGTGAGTTCCGTTGCAGACTTCCTCAGGTATCTGTTTTACTCAGGCCTCCAGATTGCACCGCAACTACTGGTCTGCTTAGGTTGCTATTCATTTGGGCTTCAGCAACAGATCGACTGTCTCTGACAGTGCTGCCATCCACCATCTCCTTCAAGGAATGTTTGTCAAGTGTCCCCATGTCAAACACCTTGTCTATGAGTATGCGGTGAGGCCGGGAAAAATAAAACCACGTGTGATCTTGGTTTGGATAAAGAAATTCTGAGATCGGGAGGATGATTATTTTTGGTGGATTGACTGTAAAAATAAGGAGTTTAAACCACCATGGTTCTATACATAAGTGCTGTTTAAGTAATGTTTTGGTGGATTGGATGCCAAATATCATTATGGAGTGGGGCGGGGAAAATAAATACCATGCACGATCTAGGTTTATAAATAAAAAGAAATGCTGAGACAGGCATTGTCAATCGCAGCAGTAGCCCCTAAAAAGGCAACCGGGCCCATTACTTCCCAGGAATATACATTATATATGGTCAGTCAGAGACTTAATTGGAAATAGAGTGTCGTCGTTAATGTCGTCGAACCTCTGTCCATAACAATTTACAATTTGGAAATAGTTTTGTAGTAGATGTAGCTCGGGCTCACAGGGTACTGACAACATTGCACTGGAATTGGAAGTGGGCTGAAGGCTGAATAATTTTCCTATCTGGAGATAGGAAAACGACTGTACTCAGACCGTGAAATTCGATCCCACACTTCCACAGGACTCACTCTGTGGCCGAAATTCACAGAGAACATCGGCGCACCTTGTTTGAGAGAAATTTCCTATTCATGCTGCTTGTTAACATAACAATAGGAACACACAAGAGGAATATTCAATGAGCTGGAGACTGGTCTGGGTGCCGTGTAGAGGAACTTGGAAAAATACATTATGGGGTGCCACAGCAGCTTGTGGCATGCCGATAAAAATCTTTTTGACATCACGCCTAACCAGGCTGGCTTTTGGTTCTTCATTTTTTGTATAGTTTTTCCTTTTCCCGGTGTGCGTGCTGTGTTTTTTTCACAGTTGTGTTAATGAATGGACATTCCTTATTCAGGTCAATTGGAGTCAGGCCACCATCCAATTATTTCTCTGCGGAGGGCGAGTGTTTGATTGGGTCACGTTGCGTTCATCTGTCCCCATGCTCTCTGCTATCCCATGCACATGTACATTGCATGTATAAATAACTGTACAGTACTTGTGTAACTGTTGACTGCCTGTGTACTCTAACAGTAGTTATCCCCGCATGAACTCGACCAGAAAACTGAACTTAGGGACAGGTGTACACTCGCATTCTGACTTTGTCAATTGGCCTGAGCAGCCGTTTATTGAACTTGACACAGTTCAGGTTGTTATTGCTCAAAGCTGGTGATGCAGAACTGCAAAAATTTACTTTGCGCAAAATCAAAGTATAGCTATTCAGCAAAAATTACAGAAATTTTTCCCTCCCAAAGCTGGTGACGTGGAACAGCAACTAAAATCAGCAAAATGTATAAAGTTATCAGCAACATGTATGAAAAAGTAATTATCAGCATTTGTTTCCACCCAAAGCAGATGGAGAGGTAAATTGTTTTGACACGTACCTGCGTGGTACAAAGCCTTTGATAAGCAAATTCAAACAGCAATTACAAATGACAGAACGCAAAATTACCCAATTTTTATGAACAAATTAACTAGGATCTCATCCAGTATACAATATCTTTAGGGCCAGCATCCTTAGTTATCAATATCAAATGCTGTGATTGGACAGCAATTCCCAAGAAGTGTGGCCCGACTTAGGCCTACTGTACACTGGCTTGCTGGAATATCGGTCAACCAACGGGCTTGTTGCTGACTGAAGTCAGCAACATGACCATTGCCAAATAGACCTCAGGTGGTGGTATTAAGAGGAGATGCAACGGGAAAACAATGTGACGCCAGGGCTTGGTAAAAATTATCCAGAATGAACGAGCAACTTACATGTATCATCAGTCAAATGAAATTCGTCTGCATGATATAACGCCACGGACGACCACTGGATCTGGGGGTGCCAAATAACAC